TCTGCAGTGGGGATTTGTGATGTGTGTGTGTGTGTGTGTGTGTGTGTGTGTGACGCCCTCTGGTGTTCAGAGAGATATGTAGTGTGTGTGTGTGTGTGACGCCCTCTGGTGTTCAGAGAGATATGTGTGTGTGTGTGTGACGCCCTCTGGTGTTCAGAGAGATATGTAGTGTGTGTGTGTGTGTGTGTGACGCCCTCTGGTGTTCAGAGAGATATGTAGTGTGTGTGTGTGTGTGTGTGTGACGCCCTCTGGTGTTCAGATGGAGCGATCACTACTGCTCAGCCGTGCATAAATTAATGGCAGCCTTTTCCAAATCGCGAGCGGCTCCATCAGACCTGGAACACGAACTCCGTAGACGTTTCCCTCCTGGATGAACGGGAGCGTGCCGATGATGTCCGAGACTTCAGTGGTGGCCACGTTCTCTCCCTTCCACCTGCTCACACACACACACACGTCAGCTGCAGCGATCACACTCATCTCCACGGCTGGTTCCTGACACACACCTGAACGTGTCTCCCACTCGGTCCTGGAAGTAGATGAAGTTGTCGTGGTCGATCTTCAGCAAGTCGCCGCTGTTGAAGTAGACGTCTCCGCTCTTCCGAACGTGACGCAGCCTCTTCTTCTCCGTCTCCTGCTGGTTCTGCGCGTAACCCACGAACGGAGCGAGTCCGGTGATCTCACACACCAGCAGCCCCGTCTGCCCTGGACACACAACAGCTGATCGGAGTCAGTTCACTTCCCTGATCGTTTACTCTCCCCTCGTCATCTAATCTTCATGCCTGTCTTCAGTGGAAAAGAAGTTGGTGACCTTTCACCCTGATGATGTAATGTGTGTCGCATCATAGCTCGAACAAGACCAGCATTAGTGGTTAAAGTATATAAATGTGTGTTTTGTTGTAAATGTCGCTGGTTTGTCTCGATCAGACTCTTTTATTCCTCTGCTGCACTGAAACTCACATCTGACCTTTGACCCGTTGGACCCCATTGAAGACACTATATGGAGTAACCCTGGAGTGTGCTCCTCAAAAACCTTCATTTTATTGAATGTGTGGTGTGAGTGACCTCTGACCTCTAGGCACCTCCACACACAGGCCTCTGGAGTCTCTGACCGGCTCGTCTCGCTCGGTGTCGTACTGGATCAGGGCGTACGGGAACAGTTTCTGTGTGAGGAGAGAAACACACGGGGAGTTCAGCGTTTCCCAGGGACGATCCGGCTCGGAGAGAGTCACGTGATCCCAGTCTTACCCTGTGCAACCAGCTGACCCGTCCCACTGCTCCCAGTTTCCCAGTGTAGTTGACGAAGCCCAGGTTTCCCTCAGTGGAGGCGTAGAACTCTCTGATGTCGATGGGACCGAATCTCTGGAGGAACTCCTTCCACACGTCCGGCCGGAGCCCGTTCCCGATCGCCAGACGCACCGCATGCTCTCGCTCGCCCTCGCGCTGGAAACACACACACACACACACACACACAGTGTCGTGTTAGCGGGCCCCAAGTTAAAGCTAATGAACGGAAGTGAATCAATCAAAACTAGCTTTATCTGGACAATTCGAGATCTGCTGTGAAGCCGAACACTGTAAAACTGCTGTGAGACTCTGGATAGATGAAGGAGACTTGACCACACACACACACACACACACATGTGAGCTACGCATGTGTGTGAGACTGATGACAGATGGACATCACGACACACACTCGTGAGGAAACTTGAAGACCTGCGCTGGAATGTACAGTCAGTGAAACCTGAAATTAGCCGTGATCTCCTCCTCATGTGAAGTGTGTGTGTGTGTGTGTGTGTGTGTTCAGGAGATCGTTCGGGAAAGGCCATCAGCTATTCCTAGATCCAGCGCTCTGTTTGGCCGACAGCTGCGTCACATGATCACATGATCACACGCGCTCCTCAGGATCCCGTTTCAATGACCAAAGTAAGAGGATTCATCGTTTACCTCCAAAACTTCAAACAGACAACCAGACGTTAGATGGCGAGCAGGTGTGTGTGTGTGTGTGTGTGTGTGTGTGTGTGACGTGAGCAAACGACATACTGGCAGAATCAGAGCTATTTAGAAAAAACAGCTGTTCTGGAGTCAGTTTTCAGAGAGTAACAGTTGTACGATATACACACACACACACACACTCTCTCTCTCTCTCACACACACACACACACACACACTGACGGCACACGCTGCCAACATTCTAAATCTGTTTCACAGTCAGCTGACATAAACACAACTATAAACTAATGTACATAAGAAGTCACCATGAAATCAAAAATGACATATTGATTGCTTTAATTGCAGTGTTTATTGTAAATGATTTATGGGTGCGCATCATCATCATCATCATCATTATTGCGTTAATAATGTCGAATCAGTTCCTCTCGCAGCATCATCTCTGATGATGAGGGCGGGGCTATAACCTGTCACTCACATGAGATCAGCCAATAGCAAACCACAACCAGCCAATCAGTTCCCCACAGACAAAATCAAGCCCCGCCCACAGACACAATCAAGCCCCGCCCACATGTGTTCTTGTTCCACTTCCCTTTCATGACAACTTTAACCTGCTAGACTTCCATTATAAGAGATGTGGTATCCCGCAGGTCTCTCCAGTGTGATGTGTGTTTTGTGTGGTGTGTGTTCCTCTCTGTACCTTCGGTGTGTTGCAGAGATAACGCAGAACTTCTCCGATATACTGAATCACCGTCACGCCGTGAGTCCGACACTCGTCCCAGAACTGAGAAGCGGAAAACTTACGCCGTAATATTATAGTTGAACCTGAAAATGAGAGAAAGGAGATTATTCTAATCCGTAACAGCACTAGCAGATCTGTGTGTGTGTGTGTGTGTGAGTGTTTGACCTTTCACCCGCTTAAGAGGAACATTTGTGTGTATTTCTGCCACTTTACAGTCACACACAAAGAGCTCTTTTACGAGGAGAGTGACGAAACTACACACTAATTCGTCAGAAGGTCATGAAGTGCTTACACACACTCACTCGCTCACGCACACACACACACACACCTGTCTCGACGGAGCCCATGAAGCCCACGAGGAAGCCCGCGGTGTGATACAGAGGAAGAGTCACGTAGATCACGTCGGTGTGTGTTACGCCGTTCGCCGCCAGCACAGCGAGAGCAGCCAGCAGACGCGTCTGAGTGATCACAGCTGCTTTAGGAAGACCTGCACACACACACACACACACACACGTCACGCTTCACACTCCACTGGAGTATTCCACACTGAAAGCATCCTCTGCTGGCCATCCTCACTGCAATACGTCTGACTCATCCTCCAGTTTGAAAACTAACAAATGCTTTGCTCTGAATTTTGCAACATTGACATTCAAAAAAATAATAATTATAAATCACATTTTAATAAAACTGATCAGAGGATCTCAGAGGACGGCTAATTCACTAACGTCTGAAAGTATTTTCAAAAATAAATGTTTAAAATCGTTTCGCGAACGATGGATCAGCAGCCATTTCGGAGAAGATAAAGTAGGAGTAATATGATCACCTGATTCACCTTCGGTTTATGTACATGTTCGTTCGAGTGACGGATTCACCTGTGGTTCCAGATGTGTATATGTACATGTTCGTTCGAGTGACGGATTCACCTGTGGTTCCAGGTGTGTATATGGACATGTTCGTTCGAGTGACGGATTCACCTGTGGTTCCAGATGTGTATATGTACATGTTCGTTCGAGTGACGGATTCACCTGTGGTTCCAGGTGTGTATATGGACATGTTCGTTCGAGTGACGGATTCACCTGTGGTTCCAGGTGTGTATATGGACATGTTCGTTCGAGTGACGGATTCACCTGTGGTTCCAGGTGTGTATATGTACATGTTCGTTCGAGTGACGGATTCACCTGTGGTTCCAGGTGTGTATATGTACATGTTCGTTCGAGTGACTGATTCACCTGTGGTTCCAGATGTGTATATGGACATGTTCGTTCGAGTGACGGATTCACCTGTGGTTCCAGGTGTGTATATGGACATGTTCGTTCGAGTGACGGATTCACCTGTGGTTCCAGGTGTGTATATGTACATGTTCGTTCGAGTGACTGATTCACCTGTGGTTCCAGATGTGTATATGGACATGTTCGTTCGAGTGACGGATTCACCTGTGGTTCCAGGTGTGTATATGTACATGTTCGTTCGAGTGACGGATTCACCTGTGGTTCCAGGTGTGTATATGTACATGTTCGTTCGAGTGACTGATTCACCTGTGGTTCCAGGTGTGTATATGAACATGTTCGTTCGAGTGACGGATTCACCTGTGGTTGCAGGTGTGTATATGAACATGTTCGTTCGAGTGACGGATTCACCTGTGGTTCCAGGTGTGTATATGTACATGTTCGTTCGAGTGACGGATTCACCTGTGGTTCCAGGTGTGTATATGAACATGTTCGTTCGAGTGACGGATTCACCTGTGGTTCCAGGTGTGTATATGTACATGTTCGTTCGAGTAACGGATTCACCTGTGGTTCCAGGTGTGTATATGGACATGTTCGTTCGAGTGACGGATTCACCTGTGGTTCCAGGTGTGTATATGTACATGTTCGTTCGAGTGACGGATTCACCTGCGGTTCCAGGTGTGTATATGTACATGTTCGTTCGAGTGACGGATTCACCTGTGGTTCCAGATGTGTATATGGACATGTTCGTTCGAGTGACGGATTCACCTGTGGTTCCAGGTGTGTATATGGACATGTTCGTTCGAGTGACGGATTCACCTGTGGTTCCAGGTGTGTATATGTACATGTTCGTTCGAGTGACGGATTCACCTGTGGTTCCAGATGTGTATATGTACATGTTCGTTCGAGTGACGGATTCACCTGTGGTTCCAGGTGTGTATATGTACATGTTCGTTCGAGTGACGGATTCACCTGTGGTTCCAGGTGTGTATATGTACATGTTCGTTCGAATGACGGATTCACCTGTGGTTCCAAGTGTGTATATGGACATGTTCGTTCGAGTGACGAATTCACCTGTGGTTCCAGGTGTGTATATGGACATGTTCGTTCGAGTGACGGATTCACCTGTGGTTCCAGGTGTGTATATGGACATGTTCGTTCGAGTGACGGATTCACCTGTGGTTCCAGGTGTGTATATGGACATGTTCGTTCGAGTGACGGATTTACCTGTGGTTCCAGATGTGTATATGTACATGTTCGTTCGAGTGACGGATTCACCTGTGGTTCCAGGTGTGTATATGTACATGTTCGTTCGAGTGACGGATTCACCTGTGGTTCCAGGTGTGTATATGGACATGTTCGTTCGAGTGACGGATTCACCTGTGGTTCCAGGTGTGTATATGTACATGTTCGTTCGAGTGACGGATTCACCTGTGGTTCCAGATGTGTATATGGACATGTTCGTTCGAGTGACGGATTCACCTGTGGTTCCAGGTGTGTATATGGACATGTTCGTTCGAGTGACGGATTCACCTGTGGTTCCAGGTGTGTATATGGACATGTTCGTTCGAGTGACGGATTCACCTGTGGTTCCAGGTGTGTATATGTACATGTTCGTTCGAGTGACGGATTCACCTGTGGTTCCAGGTGTGTATATGGACATGTTCGTTCGAGTGACGGATTCACCTGTGGTTCCAGGTGTGTATATGAACATGTTCGTTCGAGTGACCGATTCACCTGTGGTTCCAGGTGTGTATATGTACATGTTCGTTCGAGTAACGGATTCACCTGTGGTTCCAGGTGTGTATATGGACATGTTCGTTCGAGTGACGGATTCACCTGTGGTTCCAGATGTGTATATGTACATGTTCGTTCGAGTGACGGATTCACCTGTGGTTCCAGGTGTGTATATGGACATGTTCGTTCGAGTGACGGATTCACCTGTGGTTCCAGGTGTGTATATGTACATGTTCGTTCGAGTGACGGATTCACCTGTGGTTCCAGATGTGTATATGTACATGTTCGTTCGAGTGACGGATTCACCTGTGGTTCCAGGTGTGTATATGTACATGTTCGTTCGAGTGACGGATTCACCTGTGGTTCCAGGTGTGTATATGTACATGTTCGTTCGAATGACGGATTCACCTGTGGTTCCAGGTGTGTATATGAACATGTTCGTTCGAGTGACGGATTCACCTGTGGTTCCAGGTGTGTATATGTACATGTTCGTTCGAGTGACGGATTCACCTGTGGTTCCAGGTGTGTATATGTACATGTTCGTTCGAGTGACGGATTCACCTGTGGTTCCAGGTGTGTATATGTACATGTTCGTTCGAGTGACGGATTCACCTGTGGTTCCAGATGTGTATATGTACATGTTCGTTCGAGTGACGGATTCACCTGTGTTTCCAGGTGTGTATATGGACATGTTCGTTCGAGTGACGGATTCACCTGTGGTTCCAGGTGTGTATATGTACATGTTTGTTCGAGTGACGGATTCACCTGTGGTTCCAGGTGTGTATATGAACATGTTCGTTCGAGTGACGGATTCACCTGTGGTTCCAGGTGTGTATATGAACATGTTCGTTCGAGTGACGGATTCACCTGTGGTTCCAGATGTGTATATGGACATGTTCGTTCGAGTGACGGATTCACCTGTGGTTCCAGGTGTGTATATGAACATGTTCGTTCGAGTGACGGATTCACCTGTGGTTCCAGATGTGTATATGGACATGTTCGTTCGAGTGACGGATTCACCTGTGGTTCCAGATGTGTATATGTACATGTTCATTCGAGTGACGGATTCACCTGTGGTTCCAGATGTGTATATGGACATGTTCGTTCGAGTGACGGATTTACCTGTGGTTCCAGATGTGTATATGAACATGTTCGTTCGAGTGACGGATTCACCTGTGGTTCCAGGTGTGTATATGTACATGTTCGTTCGAGTGACGGATTCACCTGTGGTTCCAGATGTGTATATGTACATGTTCGTTCGAGTGACGGATTCACCTGTGGTTCCAGATGTGTATATGTACATGTTCATTCGAGTGACGGATTCACCTGTGGTTCCAGATGTGTATATGGACATGTTCGTTCGAGTGACGGATTCACCTGTGGTTCCAGGTGTGTATATGGACATGTTCGTTCGAGTGACGGATTCACCTGTGGTTCCAGGTGTGTATATGGACATGTTCGTTCGAGTGACGGATTCACCTGTGGTTCCAGGTGTGTATATGAACATGTTCGTTCGAGTGACGGATTCACCTGTGGTTCCAGATGTGTATATGTACACGGCCGGAGAACTGAAGCACACGTTTGCTCTGAGCGCTGGAGGAACGGCTGAGTCGGACGATTCCTGAGCTAGTCTTCTCAAACTCTTCATGCCTGATGATCTGAGCTCTGATGAAGACATGAAGAAGACGGTCACGTCCTCCAGATCATCTCTCACCTCCTCTACGGCTTGCTGCAGAGCTGACATCACAAACACAACATCACAACAAACCCAACAATCACATCACAACAAACACAACATCACAACAAACCCAACAATCACATCACAACAAACACAACATCACAACAAACCCAATGATCACATCACAACAATCATTTTTTTTTTATATAGTATGCTCAAAAAGTGAATAAATGGATTTTTAACTATACTGCATAAATATAATTAAGTTGCTTTGGACTAAAGTGTCTGCCAAATGCGTAATTGTAAAATGTAAATGTAGTACCATAAAATCTCTTAAAAATACAAAAACATTATCAAACTAAAATATAGTAAATTCTTGTCACTGAAATATAAAAAAAACTGACATGTGATGTGAAGAACACCAGAGGGTTAAACAGATACTTACTATAGATACTAGGCTATGTGTCTGTTTTTCCACCAGTAAATAATTGTGGCTATTCTTTTTCTTTATTTCCCAAAGGCATAGGCTACAAACTTATCAACGAATTTTCCAGCTACCAAAAATATGTTCTAAAAACATGCGTTCTCAGTATGTTATGAAATCGGTATTTCTAAAAGTTCAGAGCGTCTAGTTTGTAAAATGTTTAATAGCATTTTTTTTCTTACTTGGTTATATGAGCCTTAAGGGAACATTTCATATTCTTCACACATTATGCGAACATCACTTCTGAATGTTCTCTAAACGTTCTAAGACAAGTAGTAACTTTTAAAAATGTTAGACGAAAGTCGTCCAACAAAATCAAATAACATTTTTAGCTTTTTTTGTGCAAAGGTTTTAAGAACATTATTAAAGATCAGATCACTTTTGTTTGTTCAGTAACTTTGCTCTTAATCGAATAACTTTAAAATTCTTAAAATCATTTTAAAATAATTCTGATTACAGCTTTATTCTAATATTCTGCCAATCGTGTGTGTGTGTGTGTGTCGCAACGCTCACCCTCCGACGCGATCAGGACGGCGGCCCCGCGACAGCATCTGAAGCTCGCGACCAGACTCCGTGCGCGGATGCTGGTGTTGAGGAGTGCGCATGCGCAGCCGAGCTTGGCCAGCGCGAGCCAGCAGAAGATGAAGGCGGGCTCGTTTATCATGAACAGAACCGCGGTGTCTCCGGGCTTCAGACCCGACGCGCCGCGCAACGCGTTCGCTATTCGGTTGCTCTCTCTGTCTGCGTCTTTAAACGAGTAGATTTCCTTCTCGAATACAATGAACGGCTTGTTCGGCCGCGTTTCGACCTGTTCTAAAAATCTGTCCAAAGCGAAAAACAAAGGTCGCCTTCTTCTGCGAGACACGAATTTGAGTAAAATCCGCACCAGTTCTGTGTGGTAAACAAAGTCTGCCCAGAAATAGGGGAAAAGCAGCCTCAGACACAGAGGACAGAGGACCAGTCCGCACAACAGCACAGAAACAAGGAACATCTTTGATGTGAAAATGCGAGAGTTTCTCAAACACAATCCGAGCCGAAGACTGAAGTGATTCTGCTGAAGGCGGAGCGACGGGAGATTACAGTTTAAAGTTTCCCTCAGACACGAGGATCAGAAATGTAGGCTATTACAGAAACATAGGAAACATTTTCAAAGTTCAATCATTAAGTTTGTGGAGTATCTACAGCTCTGGCTCTGATTCCTTTTTTGGGGGGTATTAATGTGTTGCTAATCAGACCTTTCAGGCTATAGCCTAATGAGCCTTATACCAAAATTATTATTACAACTAATTTTTTGTTCATTAATTAGGAAAAGAATTATAAATAATAAATAATTGGGTACGGGTAGATGATTTAAGTGTAACCCGACATCAGACATTAAAGGACATTCACTGTACATTCAAAGGTCATTTACTGTCGTCGCACGGCTGCTGGAACTTGAGGAGGCCGACTGCAGGACGACTCAACTTCCACGCACAGTTTTTTATATCAAGATTTCGCTTTAGTATTTTTCGGGACAATTAAGGCCAGTTTGGGGATTCGGGACAACAGCTTAGATTTCGGGACTGTCCCGGATTTTTCGGCATGTCTGGTCACCCTAGCAGGATAAACTGCATCTCTAGGACCGAACTTAAAGCGACAGACTGAAGTTTGATCTCTTCTCAAACGCGACACTCAGGATACAGTTTTAAAAAGTAAACTTGAGAAAAGTTACAGAATTTTTCGTGTATTGTTATGAAAAATGCACAAAATTCTATTTAAATTTTTTAAATGAAATTTATTTTCAAAACTGTGTTTTAATCTAAAACTGTGATACAATCAAAGCAAGTTGTGTGCAAAATTTGAGCTTGATATCTCAAAAAATGTAGCCTGACATCGTCATACTCAGACTCCGGTCCGCATGTGAGTCCGATGCTGCTGTGATTATGGGGCGTTTCAACTGAACCAGGAAAGATAAGGCCTCTGCACTCAAATGGATTGACAAATGCCTCGGTCGCGGTTCTCTGTTCCCCTTTTAAATGAATGCACTGTGTACATCTTCAATAACAGATGCGACGGCTGAATCTACACATCTCAGATCTCCAGCGGCGGCCATCTTTGTTGTAAACGAACTCAACCCAAGCGCTCTTTGGTGACGTGGATGATTACTAGGGGTGTAAATTGAAGCCTTAATGACGATTCGATACGATACCAATTTCTTAAGCCAACGAGTCAATTATTTTCGATACTTCACTATTTCCCTCGATACGATTCAATACTAGATATTTTTACATGATATCTAATAAGTTTCAAATAAGTCAACAAAAAAAATTATAAATAGTCTTTTATTGAGAATACAGAAACAGCGTTTGTGGCGAGCAGGACGAGGCCGACGTAAGACGTAACAGGCTACAAAAAACGAGCGCTCAGTGAGATGTTGTTCGTCTGCAGTACCAAACGCTTCCACTAGAAACTCGTCTCTCATTCAATTCCAATGCGACTATTGTTTCAGGACCATTTGTGTGAGTGTGTAGTGTGTGTGTTCACATAGCATTTTTTTTCAGTCAAAAACACCTGAGGAGGAGCACCAGAGGGCACTGTTTCCGTCATGAGCAGATCCGGAGTCCTGGTCCAGTGCCAGATCAGCAGTTGCGTCATTCCCAGATCTCCGCTATCAGTTCCTCGAGCTCCTGATAGCAGCGCTGTGACTCCAGCTGAGAAATCAAACTCAACGACCTCTCGCTAGCAAGACACTGGCTGAATCTCATTCAGCAAATAATTGTGACATGTCACTCCCACATGCTCTCAGATGTATCCACAGAGGCCCGGTTCCCAGCATGCACTGCGGTAATGAGGATTGTGCGTTTGGAACGGACTAATCATGAACTTCTCAAGGTTACAGTGATAGCAGAGAGAAGAAGGAGCCGGGCTGATAACGTTCAGCACAGTTTTGTTTATATAAAGCGCTTTTGGAAAATGTCTGACCTCGATCTCTTGAGTTCAGGCACACGTCTCAATCCATGACTCCCGTTGCTCAGGGATGCAAATAATAGTAACCCAGTAGAATTGGCAAAACCCAATATTTCAATAAAACGAGCAGTACATCAGTGGAGTGTATCTGGCTGACCCACTTCTGTACTGTATCTGCGTGATTATTGAGATTATAACCCTAACTGAAGCACAGGCGCTGCTGGCGAAGCTGGACCCTGTTCGCTTAGGATAGGTTCGGAATGGTCAGTTCAGGCCGAGTGTTTTGAGTGTACTTATGTTAAGATATCGATTCAAAACAATGGTCTGCTCTGTTTGAGAGTTAGGAACAGTCGAGGGTTGGCAACTGTTTAGACGTGGATTCCTCGATTCGAGTCCGGCTTTAAGGCTGGATCCTTCAAAGAACGCTTGCGTCCCAGCGGCGAGGCAAAGGCTTTCCTGATCCTGATCTTTTCCTGATCCAGCTTTACCGATCCATCCTAAGGCTTTGCCAATCCATCCGGAGGATTTCCCGTTCCATCCGAAAGCTTTTCCGATCCATCCAAAGGCTTTCCCGATTTGATCCATTCGGAGGCTTTCCCGATCCATCCGAAGGCTTTCCCGATCCAACCAGAGGCTTTCCCGATTTGATCCATCCGGAGGCTTTCCCGATCCATCTGGAGGCTTTCCCGATCCATCCAAAGGCTTTCCCGATTTGATCCATCCGGAGGCTTTCCCGATCCATCCAAAGGCTTTCCCGATCCATCCAAAGGCTTTCCCGATTTGATCCATCCGGAGGCTTTCCCGATCCATCCAAAGGCTTTCCCGATTCATTCAGAGGCTTTCCCAATTTGATCCATCCGGAGGCTTTCCCGATCCATCTGAAGGCTTTCCCGATCCATCCAAAGGCTTTCCCGATTTGATCCATCCGGAGGCTTTCCCGATCCATCCAAAGGCTTTCCCGATTCATCCAGAGGCTTTCCCGATCCATCCAGAGGCTTTCCCGATTTGATCCATCCGGAGGCTTTCCCGATCCATCTGAAGGCTTTCCCGATCCATCCGAAGGCTTTCCCGATTTGATCCATCCGGAGGCTTTCCCGATCCATCTGGAGGCTTTCCCGATCCATCCAAAGGCTTTCCCGATTTGATCCATCCGGAGGCTTTCCCGATCCATCCGAAGGCTTTCCCGATCCATCCAGAGGCTTTCCCGATCCATCCAGAGGCTTTCCCGATTTGATCCATCCGGAGGCTTTCCCGATCCATCTGGAGGTTTTCCCGATCCATCCGAAGGCTTTCCCGATCCATCCAGAGGCTTTCCCGATTTGATCCATCCGACGGTTTTTCCAATCCATCTGAAGGCTTTCCTGATCCGATCCATCCGAAGGCTTTCCCGATCCATCCGAAGGCTTTCCCGATCCATCCGAAGGCTTTCCCGATCCGATCCATCCGAAGGCTTTCCCGATCCGATCCATCCGAAGGCTTTCCCGATCCATCCGAAGGCTTTCCCGATCCGATCCATCCGATGGTTTTTCCGATCCATCCGAAGGCTTTCCCGATCCGATCCATCCGATGGTTTTTCCGATCCATCCGAAGGCTTTCCCGATCCATCCGAAAGCTTTCCCGATCCGATCTATCTGGAGGCTTTCCTGATCCATTCAAAGGCTTTCCCGATCCATACGGAGGCTTTCCCGATCCATCCAGAGGCTTTCCCGATCCATCCAAAGGCTTTCACAATTTGATCCATCCGACGGTTTTTCCGATCCATCCAAAGGCTTTCCCGATCTGATCCATCCAGAGGCCGAACCCAGTAGACGGGCCAGAACCCGGTTCTGTTCTCAGGCAGACAGCACTCGCACCAACACTGAATCAGCTCTTTGTTTCTGCCTTAAATTATTATTGTTTTGATGAAAACATGTGAGTTTGTACATGCGTTTCTGAAACACATAACTCAGACCGTCTCCTCTGATAACAGACCACTCTGGACTGTAACGTGGACTCGTGCACTTACAGAAACGATGTGTGTTTTGAAAAGCGCTATACAAATAAATGTGAACTGATTGATTCTCTGGAGAGAGACTGATAACTTCTGCATACAGGACTGGACCCGCATCTGGACCCGAACAGCTGCACTGATCTCAGTGTCAGTGTGTGTGTCCTGCATCACACAGAAGACGGACTCTATGCTGTTATACTTCTGTGTCTCAGAACTCGAATGCTTTAGTTTTTCCATAAATGTCACATTGATTGCATTGATCTGATGCCTTCTCTCTATCTTGTTGCTCTCTTAGACCTCGATGTCAACATTTGTTCTCTACACGTCAGCTTCTGCTTGTCCAGCTTTCTTGACAGAAGAATTGTGTTAGTCTTTATTAGTAAAACAGTGTCCATGTGAAAGCCAATAGCATTCTCCACTTAAAGCTGAAGTATAAGTAACTTTTTCCGTGTTAAAATAGTTAAAGTCACAGACGGTTCATTTCCTCGAAAAGTAAAAAGGCTGTTAGTTTTGGGTTAGACCCGTGGACCAATGGCGTGAGCTGTGGGCGGGGACTATTTGTGATTGACAGTTGGCAGATTCTGTAAACTGTGGAAGAGAATTTAGAATTTTTGTTCAATTAATTGGAGCTTAAAGTCACGTGACATGTTCAGAATAATATGACAACATATATTTTCAGCTCAGATACAGATCTCTGTCTGGAAAGTCCCATCGACTGTTTGCTGAATCCTCCCAAACAAACACAATGCATACGTGCAGATCCCGAGCACGTGATCGCTTTGATCTGGGAATCAGGGAATCTGTCACGGCTCTTGATCCGTTATTCCTCAAATCTTTCTCTCAAAGTCGGGTTTCTTCTGCATCCCTTTAAGTGTGTTTCTAACTAATCTCGACTCTTTTATTTATGCATTATTAGTTATTTCATTGTATAGGGTTAATTAGGTTATAAGCGTGTGTCAATTATGTAGCCTATTCCCATTCGTGTCTTTTGTGATTTTTTGTTTGATATCTTGAGGGCGCTATAAAAGAAGAAGTAAGATTACCTATCATGAGTATTATTATGATGATACAGTAATTACAGTAGCGAACACACACACCTAGCTGTGGAGGATCGAGCGTGTCGTTGTGTCACTTTAATTCACTGCAGCCCCGATAAGAATGTGCTGGTGTCAGTCTCTCTCTCTCTCTCTCTCTCTCTCTCTCTCTCTCTCTCTCTCTCTCTCTCTCTCTCTCTCTCTCTCTCTCTCTCTCTCTCTCTCTCTCTCTCTCTCTCTCTTACACACACACACACTCACTCTCTCTCACACATGTCACGAATATCTCTCGCGACCCTTGCCACTTGCCGCGCGCACTATAAAAGCGCGTCCCCGCGGCGCCTCTCTTACTTTCCCGGATCAGAAGTGCTGCATGTGTGAGAGCTAGTCCAGAACCAGGAGCAGAACCAGAATCAGAACCATAAGCAGAACCAGGAGAACATGCTGCGTGTCCGGTGTCTGAGAGGAGGGAGCCGTGGAGCAGAAGCTGCACATCTCATCGGGGATATGGTGAATATATTACATTATGAGAACTGGATCACAGTCAGAACCAGAACCAGAATCTCTCTCTCTCTCTCTCTCTCTCACACACACACACACACACACACACAGAGAGAGAGAGAGAGAGAGAGAGAGAACGGAATCTTCCAGTGCACGCATGCAAATAC